TGTGCAATCGACACCGTGTCCGATCGGGAAATATTGTCGTGTCCGATTTGTAATGTGCGCAATCGGGACAATCCCATAAGGACGTAGCCATCTGTGCCAAACGTCTTGGCGTGTGATAGGTTAGGTTTTCTTCCGCACCACAGTTCGTAAGAAGTAGCAACCTTATTCTTTGCAATTAAGATACGGTTTAATATATAGACCGCTGTGTTGACGCTTCTGCCCACAACTTTTTTGTTTGTCCTTTTGCATGTATCATAGTTCGCGCACTTTCCACAATTGTTCTATTCTCGCGTTCGGCCTTCCCGTTTTGTTCGAGGGTGTACGGTGCAGTATTTTCTAGCACAATACCTCGTAGTTTTAAATAACTAGCCATTGCACTGTTGGAATACTCGCGACCATTGTCTGCTCGTAGCACTTTTATGTTACGTCCGAACTTATTAGTCACCATTCTTTCATAGTCTTTGAATCTGTCAAACACGTCCGATTTGTGTTTGAGAAAATACACTACGCGATAGTTGCTCGCTTCATCGATGAACAGTAGGTAGAAACGTGAGCCGCCAATCGACATTTCGGAAAAAGGTCCGCACACATCGGTATGAACATATTCACCCGGTTTCCAGTTCTGTTTGTCACTATTATTCTTGAACTCAAGTTTGTGCGTTTTTCCGAACTGGCACGACTCACAGAAAAAATCATCTTTACACGAGAACTTTACTCCATCAACAGCTTGTCTGTATCCACCACCACACTCTGTATCAACTGCTTGTTTGAGTGTCCAAGTCTTTCATGCCACCCACGCAGGCTTGTAGTTGACACGTTTACTTCTGTACTTTCTTGCTCAATCACTTTAAAGAGCATGTGATACATGTTATTGTCTCGCTTTACACCATCTGCTTCGACGTTGTCCTTTCGCATAAGTGTCACTTTTCTGTCACCGAACGTAACTTTATACCCGTTTGCAGTGCACACTCCGATGTTTCCGGGTTAGGGCCGGCGGCACGTTAGGTAGCCCGTCGGTCGGCGACTGTGACCACTGGGGGGATTGTGTTCCCTGTGCCCTGTCCTCTCGCGGGCGGCGGGGGGCCGGGGACCGGGATCAAGTTCGCTCGGCCGGAGCTCTGGCCTCTCGCTTTGCGCGCGGGAGAAGCATGGTGGGGGTCCCCCCTACCCAAAGCTGATCGACGGGCGGCGAACTTTAGGCTGGTCTCCCCGGCGGGAGGGGCGTTTGGAGGGGTCGCATCCTCCTTCGTCCCGAACGTCGGAGGGGGGGCTCCCTGCGTGGCGGCGCGCAGCGCCCTCTGCGATGCCCCTGCTGTCGGAGGTAGGGGACCCCCGAAAACCCACGGTGCGGCGGCTCCTCGATGGGCCTCGCCCGTGGGTGAGGAAAGGGCAAACCAAGGGACCTGCCCCGGATGCGCGGATCTAGCGACAATACCCGAGGCAACGGTGTAGCCGGTCCTCCCCCCTGGGGGAACTCGGGGCCCGGCCGACTTCTTGTAGGCCGGCCGGTGAGAGCACGCCCGGGCCGGCAGAGCTGAGGAGGGTCGTGGGACGTTTAATCTCATGAATAATACAAATAAACCTTTTGGGATGGGTAATGGGGGGAGTAATAAGGGGAAGGGTAAAAAAGGAAGAGGAGGGAATTCCAGCACGCTGCAATCGCGGTCGGAAGACCTGGAAGAGGTGGATAGGATTTGCATGGAATGAATGGAGGAAAGTAAGAGGGACGCACAGGAATTAAAGAGGAAAACCACTCAGCAATCCCCAAAGGGTGGCAAAAAGATAGCTGGGAAGGCCATGAATACTCAGGCTCAGAGGAAGGATGAGGAGAGGGAGAAGGAACTCGGCGATATTATTGCCAACACGTGAGCACGCGGCGGTACGATACATCCGGACATTGAGGAAGCGATTTATACTAGCGGGAAGTTTGACTCGGAGATCAAATCGGCAAACTTTGTTGCCAAGATGAAGAAATCATCTGAGTTAAAGGAAACAAAACCCGAGGCGGCTAAAGAGTGGAGAATGAAAGCGCTGTTAACGCCTGCTGAATTGGAGGAGCATATAAAGGTGTTTGACGCGGAGGAATTAGTGCATAGGGCTGGGAAATTTATTAATCTCCTGACCCAACCGTACGAAGAGGAAAAGGGAATGGAGATGGATAAGTTACATGGAAAGCTAGCGATAGAAGTTATCAAGGAGTTAAACAATAGGCTCAACAGGGCAGTGGAAGTGAGAGAGACGACTATTAGGAAGAGGCTGGAGATGGAAAAGGAACTAGAGAGGGAAAAACTAAAGATACTAGAACAGAAGGCTTCCTTCGAGAGGCAAGTTCTAGAAATGGAGATGAGGGTGAAATCCATGGAGGCGGAGATGGAGACAGGTGGCGTCGTCACTCCTCTTTCCTCCGGGGCTCCAATGGAGATCGACAGACCTGTGGTGGAACAAAAAGATGCCCAGGGCCAAACTGAGGAACCTATTAAAGAAGAAGTGGTAGTTATCGGCAAAGGAGGTAGTCACGTTGAAAGGGCGATTGCGGCCTTGGATCGCAAAATGGAGATTTTAACGAAGGAGGTAAATTCTCTAAAGAGCGGGAGAATTCCTCTTGCTCGTGATGAGGGACTGACTCGGGTAATGGAGAGATCTGTTGCCAGGGGTGGGGGCGAGGGCGGCAATTCCGCGTCACTCCTCCTCCCGACGAGTAGGAGGGATGTTCCTGCCATCACTGTCCCAACTTATGCCGGGGTAGTGGGGGCGGGAAAGAAAGGGACTAATGTTAAACGGGGGAAGGGGGGTCAGCCCCCTGGACCTTCGACGGGAAGGCGGCCGGTACGAAAAAAAGAAACCGGTGCTCGTGGAGGGGGGAGTATGCGTGTTCCGGCCCCTCTGGGGACGGCGGCAGTGGTTCTCACTGTCCCGTCTGGTGGTCGGGCGGAGTATGCAGAAGTCATAAGGACCGCCAGAAAGAAGGTATCCCTGACGGACTTCGGCGTGGAAAATGGCTTACGCATGAGGAGGGTCGCCACTGGAAGCCTCTTATTGGAGGTCCGTGGTGACGATTGTATAGGAAGGGCGGACCGATTATCGGCCCGATTAAAGCAAGTTTTTGCTGGGAGGGATGTGTTGGTCACCCGGCCCTCCAAATCCGTAGAGTTGCGGGTTGGGGGGCTGGATGACTCAGCCACTTCTGAAGACGTGGGTAGGGCCTTGTCTTCGATTGGAGGATGACCTCTTGGGGAGGTCAGGGTTGGAGTCATCCGTAGATTTCTCGGGGAATGGGCTCTGTGTGGGCTCGGTGTCCGGTCACGGCAGCAAATGCTGCAATAAATGCGGGAGGAATCGCGATTGGATGGGCTCGGGCTCGCGTAGAGGTATTACGACCTTGCCCCATGAGGTGCTATAGGTGCCTAGAATTGAGGCACACCCGACTTGGGTGCACCTCCCCGGTGGACCGTGTTCCGCATGCTATCGCTGCGGAGAAAGCGGCCATCGGGCCGGCGGTTGCAACGCGGTTTCCCCGAGGTGTCTGCTCTGTGCGGACTCGGGGTTGCCGGCTAAGCATCCACTAAAGGGAGTGGGGTGCGTAAAGATAAGAGAGAGTGGGGGGGACAGGGACCGCCGGATCCGCGCGCAAGCGCGCGGGCGGTGGCTTTCCCTTTCCCTCGTGTGCGGTAATAGTCCGCACGGGAGGGGCGGGCATTGGGACCTCGGTATTCGGGGCCTCATTGTCCGCCCGGTCGACCGGTGATGACCCAAAGAGGCCAGATCTAGGCTGACAGGATTGAGGGGCGGAAGGTTGCTTGGGCGGGGTCCCTACGGGGTCCTCGTCACGGGTGCTTTCCCTATCCCTTTGGGAGTCGGGGCTGGGGACTCAGGTCCCCGGTTCGGACTCTCTGCCCTGGAGGGCGCGGTGAGAAAAAAGGCTCCGCTTCCCCTAATGGCGGGCCTGACTAGTGCTGGGGCGCTCCCCGACAACCGAAGGCCCGACTGGTTGCCCTGGCGTTCCCCGATGGCTTGCCGTCGGGAGGATTGCGGTTTGTTCCCTCATCTCTACCACCTGGGGAGCGGCGCGTGGCGCGGGTCCGCCACGCGTCGCTGCTAGCCCTGACCGGATTTTGCCTACGGGTACTCCGTGACTGGTCAGCAACCCCAGATGGGGGTAGCGGATCAGGGTTTAGTTTCCCTCTGGTCCGCCTAATTAGCTTTTGTCCCTTAGGACGGGGGGTCTGGAAGGACCCCCGGGAGGGAGCCCGTGAAGGGCTTGTGTGGGGGGAGCACGGATGGATCAGTGCGTTTCCCGGCTTCCCCCTACATAGCACTCAGGAGGAAACTAAGTGGGGGTTTTAGCCGGTAGGCTATGGGTGACGTCGCGTCGGGAAAACTCGGTGCAATATGCGCCCGTAGAATCCGGCACAACCCCGCCTCGGGTCCGAGAGGCGGGGAGTCTTTAGAAGATTTTTCCCACTTAAAAAAAATTTCATATATAATTCGTTAAGATTTGGTTGATTATTCTAGAGTTATAGAAATTTCGTTGGGCACATACACACATGCACACACACATATACACACATATACATACATACAGACATTTTTTAAAATTGCAATTTTTCGACGTTTTAGAACATTCTGAACACGTTCAAAAAAACAAAAAAGAATTTTTTACGAAAACAAAGCTTCCTCTATGAGGAAGAAAAAGTGCACACTTCGACCGAGAATAGATTCTTTCTCAAGCTAAACACGAAGAGCACGTTGTTTATTCGTGCTTTGATCCATTGTCCGTTTACCAGCTTCTCAATGTATAGGTACATGATCACCTTCACCACGCACTTCGCACTGGCCGTTGTCACCAAGCGACACGGTGTCGCCATCCATGGGCTTAAAGTTAATCAACCCCTCGCGTCTAAAGGTGATATGACGCAAAGCGCCGCTATCGGTGATCAGAGCGTCTTTGTATTCGCTTTGTCAGGAGCTCTTGAACGGTCTCACTGTTTAGCACGCACTGTTTATCGTTTCTCGTCGTTTCTAGATTTTCTGTTCTTTTGATTTCTCGGATTTTTCATTCCTTTCTTCTTGTTGAGACTTACGGTTGCTAGTGCTCCTGCTATTTCGTCTTCTCCGGCCATTCTGCTTTCTTCTTTAATTAATCTTTCAAGTAGATTTCCGACCAATTGATATGAAAGAGGAACACTGTCCCAGGCCGTTACAAGCGTGTTATACTTTGCGGGCAAAGAGCCTAGTATCTTGGTCATGATGTCGGTTTCATCTATTTGCTGTCCGACATCTCGTAACTGGCTCACCAAGTTTTTAATGTGCGTCACATGCTCCACGACGGAATCGTTAAGTCCCATTCTGTACTCGTGGTATCTCTGCATTAATAGCAACTTGCTCGAAGCAGATCTCTGCTCGTACGTTCTTACAAGACTCTGCCACATCTCGTAAGCCGATCTACACGTAATCAAGCCTTGTAGTTGTGTCTGTTCCATGGACGACGATATCAAGCTCATGGCCTTGGCATTGTCTTTTGTCCATGTCTTTACTGCGTCCACTGTTCGCTCGCCTCTCAATCGTGATCCGTCGATCAGATCTTCTAGCCCGTGTGCTATCAGGAGTTGGGTTATCTCGAACTTAAATACAGAGAAGCCCGTTGAACTTCGTAATTCCTTTTCCAAGGATTTCTTCCGCCATGTTGAACAAGAGCGGGATCGTACACACGTGGCAGGATATTCTTACTTTACTGTTCTCACTCACTGAACTCCACTTCGAATCACTCTGGGCCCATAACCTGTTGGGTTTTGATATAAAGCGTACGTGATTGCGTGTGAAAAAAGAAGTTTTAATAGAACAAAAAAGTATAATACAATATAAGCAGTATATATATATGGCACATGCGAGCGGTACAGTGACCATATCACGACTGAACGGCGCTGAACGATATATGTACGCAGTCGCGCTCGATCGCGTTCGATCGCACTCAATCTACATTCCGCTGACACTTGCCGTATAGAGACAGGAACTTCTGTCTCCTGATTCGCGTGAATTAGAGTGAAACATGGTAAACTATCATATTCCAATAGATTCAAATCAGAAGAACATGCAGGGATGATGTGTCCTTCTCTTCCTATACAACGCGTTCCGGAAACATTTCATATGTAAAACTGCACGTGCGACACGTGCATTATAAGCTGGACAACCATCATGTTGATACCACATCTGCAAACGAGTTTGACTTTCACTAACTGTGGACAAGTAAATAGAAGAAACATGCACTACTGGTCCGTTGAAAATCCAAGATGGCTTTGACAAGTAAAACGTCAACGTCCATGGAACGTTAATGTATATGGTGTGGTGTTATACAAAATCGAATCATTAATCCTTTCTTTATTGATGGTACATTAAATGGAAATATGCTGAATTTTTAACCAACTTTAAAAAAAAGTTAGACGACATTTTCCATAAAAGTAGAGGCGATAATGTTGGTACTAAAGAAAATGTCTAGGCGATACAAATTAATTTTTGTAGATTATTAGCACTGCGTAAGTAGTAATCTGTTAATTAGAAGAAGCCTTTTTCAAAATATACGCGCACGAATACAAAATAATCAAACCTTTTTGACGCATGCGTGATAATAAAAGGACAGTATTTGTTATTTATTTTAAGACTTCTATGTAATCTTCGGTATTTCTATTTTCCATTACACAATCGGAAATGTCTGAAATTGTAGAACAATTAAATTTACTCATACATTTACATATAATATAGAGTGCCTTTTGCAATTTAATGAACTAATTGATGACTGAACTAATGAATTGTTTTACTTACTCTATTATTATATCTAATTAGGATTGTCCATAATTGACAATTATTGTTTTTTAGTTATATAAGGTACCGTTGCAAATGTCCCATCCACAAAGATTGTAAGTGGTTTATGAATTTTATTCATGATTGACTCAAAAATTTATCAATAAAAATAACTGCTTTTGTGTCATTATTTTTAATGACAAATTCAACATTAAAAGAACTTTCTTCGTCTAACGCAAGTAATTGCTTCCATTTTTGTGTTTTTAAACAATTTTGTAAGCTGTACAGATTAATTTTTTGGTATGTGTCCAATATTTTTTGTCTTATGTCGCTCGATGAATTTCTCAGTATTTTCAATATTTGTTAAGTCCAACATATAGTCATATGTTTATGTGTAAATGCACAAATAACGAATTATAAATAGTAATTAGTTATCTTTATAATAGCATTTATTATCTTCTCGTTAAAAAGTTATTAACAATAAAAAGTTTGAAAAATTAACAGCTATTTTGAGTATTAGAAGGCATAAATAACTAATATATATGTCGAAATAATTCACGCATACACTCCACGCGAAACGAGGTGCCACATCAGTTCATGACGCGCTTTACAAACTCGTTTAAGTACATGCGTGGAATTTATCCTCTGACTATCCTGACTGTATTAAATTGTAGATGTTATGTACACACACACACACACACACACACACACACACACACACACACACACA